TATTTTTCAGAGATGGGGGTCTCTCTCTGTTGCCCCAGGCTAGTCTTGAACTCCTGGCATCAAGTGATGCTCCCATCTCAGCCTCCCAAAGTGCTGAGCTTACTGCACCTGGTCATTTTATTATATTTCTTATGCATTTAAACATTTTTAAAGTTGAAGATTCCAAATTGTTGGGCGCATTTAGGAAAATTTTATTTATCTAAAATGTATCACATTTTTTTTTAATTTTTCTTTTACCCAACAAGTAGCACAATAATTTTTTTTTTTTTTTGAGATGGAGTCTTGCTCTGTCGCCTAAGCTGGAGTAGTACAGTGGTGTGATCTCAGTTCACTGCAACTGTGCCTCCCCAGTTCAAGTGATTCTCCCACCTCAGCCTCCTGAGTAGTTGGGATTACAGGTGTGTGCCACCATGCCTGGCTAATATTTGTATTTTTAGTAGAAACGGGGTTTCACCATGTTGGTCAGGCTGGTCTCGAACTCCTGACCTGTGATCCATCTGGTTTGGGCTCCCAAAGTGCTGGGATTACAGGTGTGAGCCACTACGCCCAGCTGAGTATGTATTTTCTTACTTTTTGTTTTTTGTTCACTATGTATCATCTTCTCATATAAAAAATTTAAGTCTGTAACTTTAACATAAGAATGAATCCAATAAACCCAAGTCAAATAACAATATATGATAGAGAAGAGCACTATCTTTTAACAGAAATTGATTATTTTTGTACATTAAACAAAATGACTCAAGTGGACTGTTTATAAAAACTTTAAAATATTTTCCAGGCTGGGTGCAATGACTCACACCTGTAATCCTAGTGCTTTGGGAAGCTGAGATGGGAAAATCACTTGAGTCCAGGAATTTAAGACCAGCCTGGGCAACACAGCAGGACGCCCCCTCTCCATCTCTACAAAATAATTAAAAAAATTAGCCTGGTGTGGTGGTGCACACCTGTAGTATCTGCTACTTGGGAGGCTGAGGTGGGAGGATTGCTTGAGCCTGAGAGATCAAGGCTACAGATCGTGCGCCACTGCACTCTGGCCTCGGAAACAGTGAGACCCTGTCAAAAATAATATATATATATGTTTTCCAGAAAAAGTAGAAAATAAAGTTTTCAGTCCCTGTATTTTGTACTCACTCTTTAAGGCTGTCTGACCGCCTCCTATTTCTTCCCCATGAAGAACTTCTACTTCGAGTTCTTCTTTGGCTGGGGCTTCTTGATCTCCTGTGATCACTTGGAGAACAAGGATGACGTTCTTTTGATTTCATTTGGCCTGGTGCTGGAACATCAAGAACAAGACTTATAATTCGTTACCTGAATACCACAGTAACAGCCACTCAACTAGTAATCATTTTCTGAAAGAATTTTACATTAAAAAAATCAGTCATCACTAAAACTCATTCTGCTGAATAAATAAAATCTAACATTCAGTCACACTTACTTTTGCGATCACCTTGTGCAAACTGTATTTCAATTTGACGGCCACATACCCACTTTCTATTGAGGTTATAAAGAGCATCTTCAGCATCTCGAACATCTTCAAATATGACTAGCTGTTAAGGACACTTTGAACATGAGATATCAAGTAAACATATTTTAAAAGTATTATTTACATGTGAAATGAAATTAATAGGAAAATAAAGTTCAAGTTATAAGCTCACATCTTCAATATAATATGAATAATCAGAAAAAAGCTTTCACTTTTTCTCATGAAAACAAATGACCCATTATGATTCAGAAGAGTGAGTCTAAAAATAAAAAGAACAAAAGCAAACGTGTAACTATACCTTTAGTGTCTATAATAGTGTAGCTGCAGTATGCATGTATAATTTGAACTACAAGAAAAAAAAAGTCCAAAATTGGCTAGCATTATAAAATTATAAACTGTTTAGGACTCACTCCCTTCTTTCAGATAAAGGATCCATCAGGTTTTTCACTGAATATCAGCATGCAGAAGGCTTTATTCTGAAATTAAAATTACTCTTTCATTAAAAGACTTTTAAATTTGACATTTAAGAAAGATTACTTACAAACAAAACCAGACATATACAAGCGAGTTAAAACAAAAACTGATTCAGTCCTTTAAAAATGATATCTACCTTTGAACCTACCATTTTAAACATTTATTTTTCATTTTTTTGAGACGGAGTTTCACTCTTGTCACCCAGGCTGGAGTGCAATGATGTGATCTCAGCTCATTGCAACCTCCGTCTCTGGGGTTCAAGAGATTCTCCCGCCTTAGCCTCTGGAGTAGTTGGGATTACAGGCACACGTCACCACACCCGGCTAATTTTTGTATTTTTGGTAGAGACGGGGTTTCACCGTGTTGGTCAGGCTGGTCTCGGAACTCCTGATTTGAGGTGATCCACCTGCCTCAGCCTCCCAAAGTGCTGGGATTACAGGCATGAGCATTGTGCCTGGCCAAACATTTCTCTTTTTACTACTTGGGATATAGATATAAAAGAAACATAAAAGTAATCTGTACATATCTGGAATTACATATATTGGTTCGTAAATCCCAGTAAACTTCCTTATGTATATAAATTATATAATATTAAACCTAGCTATAATGGAAATTAGCTATATAAGAGTAAATAACTTTTTTTAGAAGATTTTTACTGGTTTAATTAAAAAATAAACAGAAAAAGCTCAAGAAATGCAATATAAAACGAGACTTTGGCAATTACCTCAATGTCACTTGATCTTGAACCTTGACCTTTACTCTTTAAGGCTTGCAAGGTGGACTTTATAAGAGACGCAGAACCAACAAAATCAGACTTGGCTTTGACTCTGGAACTCTGAGTAAATGTAGGAAAGCCGAAGTCTCAACCTGGTGTTGGCTTTGTCTTTTGCTTGATAAAGACTTCCCCTCTTCCAGGTCTTTATATCTGTGTCCACCCTCCCTCTTTACTCCTTGATGCTTGAACTTTAGGTGCCTTTTGTCTCGCCTGCTGGATTTATGCTTGGATTCTAGCTAACAGGTTGGTTCAAACTGGGGGGCGCTTGCCAGCTACTGTGGACTGCTTTAGATCTTCTGAGATAAAGAAATAAACACATTTAATTAGGCAATATTAATATCATATGCTACTGAATACATATATGTATAAGCACACATATGCAGTATATTCACATGCACGCAATAAAATAAAGGATATTGAACATAAGCAAATCCTCTTGGGCGGCGCGTGTAGAAGTCAAGTGGAATGTAAACGTCTACTATAGGGCCATATCGACCAAACTCACGGCGCAAGTCCTCAGGCCTGAAGTGTTTTAGAAATAAGGCAAAGAAATATGAATAGCTGGATTAAAATATTTTGCCTACAGAAATCCCCTTGAAACCTTCAAAAGAAAGAACATCATCTAGACCAGCATTATCTAAAATTGTTTTTTGTAAGAATCATGCAAGGTTTTGAAAGGAAGGGAAAAAAGAAAGAAAAAAAACATTCTCAGGCCAGGCATGGTGGCTCACACCTATAATCCCAGCACTTTGGGGAACCAAGGTATGTGGATCACTTGTACTCCTGAACTCCAGCCTGGGCAACATGGTGAAACCCCGTCTCTACAAAAAATGCAAGAATTAGCCAGACTTGGTAGCGTGTGCTTATAGTCCCAGCTACGTGGGAGGCTGAAGTGGGAGAATCACCTGAGCGCAGGGAGGTTGAGGCTGCAGTGAGCCAAGATCACACCACTGCACCCCAGCCTAGGTGACAGAGTGAGACCCTGTCTTAAAAAAAAAAACAACCCCCCCCAAAAACCCCCCAGATTTTCAGACCTCTCTTGGAGGTTCTGATTTAGGTAGTCTGGATTAGAGGCTGGAAATCTGTATCTTTACAAGCACTCCAGGTGGTTGTTAGGCTTAATTTCCAGAAACACTGACCGAGCATATCTACCTCGGAAAGTTATTATAAGACCAAGTAAGTAATTGTTTCACTAAGAACACATTCATTTTGCCTCACTATAATTTTTCTTTTTTTTTTTTTTTTAGCATCATCATTCCATAAGTGCCTCACTATAATTTCATGTTTATGTTAATCTTGTTTTCAGATTGTAAGAATTATATTCTAAAGAAGCCCTAAAATTATTTCTCAGGCTTTAAAGAAAATGACTGTTCTAATATTAAACATAAAACAAAGTAACTACTGTATTCCCAAATTGGACAAGTATTTTGAGCCTGCTATATGCCTTCTAGTGTGATTAGGTACTTCAAAAGGGATATAAAAAAAAATTAAATAGCATATTAATCTTCATGAGGCTACAATTTAACTGAAGAGACAAAATATTTAGCAGTAATAGCTAACAGTTACAGTGCATTTATATATTAGCCACTGTTCACCTTACAACCATTTAATTCTTACAAGATCCCTGTAGTTATCTACAGGTGATATAAACAGATTACAGGTGATACAGACAGATTACAGGTTATTTACAGGTGACACAAACAGATTACAGATGATATTGACAGATTAACCCTTCTAAGGTTACTGAGCTAGCAAGTGACAGAGCCAGAAATCAAATTTTCAGTCTCACACTAGTCCATCTTCTTTCTTCTTTTTTTTTCTGAAACAGAGACTTGCTCTGTCGCCTTGCTGGAGTGCAGTGGTGCGATCTCAGCTCACTGTAACTTTGGCCTCCCAGGTTCAAGCAATTCGCCTGCCTCAGCCTCCTTAGTAGCTGGGACTACAGGCAAGCGCCACCATAAAAATTAACCACATACCCAGCTAATTTTTTCACATTTTAGTAGAGAGAAGGTTTCACCATGTTGGCCAGGATGGTCTCAATCTCCTGATCTCATGATCCACCCACCTTGGCCTCCCAAAGTGCTGGGATTAGAGCCGTGAGCCACTATGCCTAGCCTAGTCCATCTTCTTAACTACTACACCCTACTACTTCATGGTGTTATCATAGGGATTCAGCATCACACTATGATCACAAAATGTGGCTCAGGAGAAATAAAGATTCAAAGATGACTAATAAGCTTCTAGCTTGTTAGTGTCAGTTACAAAATTAGATGGTGTCAGATACAAAAATTAGAAAAGAGAGCTAGGCTAGATCAAGGAGGGAGAAAAGAGGCAAAAAAAAACAACTTCCAGGTTTAGAAATGCAGAATTTGAGGTGATGGTAGAACATTGATAAGAATGATAAGAGTTCTGTAAGCAACTGAAAATTATTACATGCATTATATTAATGCATATTAATATAATTAATAATTATAATAATTAAGTCTCAAGACTAGAAGCCAGTGATTAAGGCTACAGATGGGAATTTAGAAATTATTACACATACAATTGAACTAATTTTTTTTTTTTTTTTTTTTTTTTGAGACGGAGTTTCACTCATGTTACCCAGGCTGGAGTGCAATGGCATGATCTCGGCTCACCGCAACCTCCGCCTCC